AAGAAAGAATTCAAATCCGAAGATGGCGACGGGGGTGGAAACCATTCCAAAAGATTTCGACTCTCTTCGAATCTCGGCCGTAAGAACAAACATACGTCCACGGCCCCTGCCGCAGTTCTCCACGTGGTAAAAGTTGATAAGTGAGCGAAACGAAACGAAACGAGGGTGGCGCGATAGAGCTCGTCGAGATCCTGCTGTTAGATAGAGTTGGCTCGTAATAACGCGCGAGCCGCGCTCTACCTGGCAGGTTGTTATTGCTGCTTATTATTTATCCATCGTGGGCGGCTTGAAACGCGTGGTTCGTGGTCTGTTTACACGGCGAGAGGTGGGAAGAAGCGCAGAGTGGAGGGTGGTACGTTCAAAACCAGCCACCGACGTTGGAACTTTAATTATTATCCTCCGAGTTGCCGAGAGAGAGAGAGAGAGAGAGAGAGAGAGAGAGAGAGAGAGAGAGAGAGAGAGAGAGAGAGAGAGAGAGAAGAGGATCGATGCTCCAACTAACTTTGTTCGACCTACCACCACCAACATCAGCTCGGTTGGTGGCCGTGATAAGAAAAGGTGTACGACGTCTGATATTGGATATATATATATGTATGTGTGTGTGTGGACACGGACACGTTGATGACAAAGAATTTTTCCTGTAATCGATAACCAGGCCTTTTTGTTTCCGGAGTGTCGTGGCAACGCGTTGTTTTGAATTCACGCGTCAACGTTGCCTGTTTCAACCCTCTTTGCAAGCTTCTGGAAAGGGAGGAAAAAAAGGAACGAATGTGACGAATGGGTAGCGGTCGTGTCGAGAATGGGTGTGTCCTGAACGATGTCCTGATGCGAGTTTGATTGATGGCAAACGGAGGGATTGATTCTTGGAGAGCGATGGATTCTCCATTTTTGTTAATGTTTTATATGTTGTGTGATGGAGTGGAATGGCGAAAATTGAAGAGAATGCGAGGAATATTTTGTTGTAGAATTGGTTGGTGAAATGTTAGTCGAAGGAGAAATAGTTGGAATAGGATAATTAGCGGCTTGGTGGATTAATTAGATAACAATTAATGTTGAAGGATACTTTTTTGTGACATAGATTTCCTGTTAAATAGAGGAATTCTGGAATAATTTAAATGTATATGATTTTTTTCCCTCAAAAGTATTTTTGTAACCCGCGAAAGTATAAAGAGATTCGTTCAATTATTGTCTCTCGCGTCTTGTGAGATATTAATTTTGCAGAGGTTGTTAAGTTATTAATAGTAATATTGTTGAACACAAATAACTGAAAATGTTAATAATAGAACAATACACGATTCAATGTCTTATAATTTGCAACACAGGTTCGCGTTCCAGTGAGCAAACTCACCTTGCCTATACTTAGAAAGGCTAAAGAAAAAGGAGAACAGAACAACCCTGATATCGTTAATCGCAAAGTGAACTGAATCACGTCGTTATTCCACATTATATTCCTCTAACAAATCCTCATTTCTATATTTCTTATGAAACCTATATACTCTCCCTATATACTTTCTCTTCAACTTGCTAAGACCAAAAGGTCACAAAATGTACAAGAATTTACCCAACTCAACAAAGACTTGGCGCAATTTTCCTAATGGAAAACCTAATTTTCACTATACCATGGAGATACTATACCATTTTCAACAAGGATACATTCATCCCTCTTTTGGTCGCAATTAATTAATTGCAATCACTCGATCACAAAATTACCATTATAAATCTATAATTACAAACCTAATGTATTATTCAGTTACTATAATTGTACGCGACCTTCGAGTAATTGCCTCGACGATTATCTTCATTAATGTCCGGTTAAATTAATTAAAATACCATTAATATTATCGTATTATTATTAACTTCTCCATCTAACCTGAATCCTCGTTCAAATTATCATTGACCACCCGATGATTCATGAACACGTACCGAGAGAAGAAAGACAAGTTGCAAAAGCAAACTGCGGGAATCTCGGTAAATCGGTTCAACGCGCCGAGTTCGCGATTCTGCCGCAATTCCGGTCGCCGGCTGAATCTCGCAACAGCGGCGGTGAGTCACAGCGTAGAAAACGAAACGGAAAAATTGCGGCACGGTGATGCAGCTCGCTTGCCTTCCAGATCGGTCGCGACCCGACCGATTTCGTGGTCGAGTTCGGTCGAAGGCGCATCGGTGCTAATGATCCGTATCGGTGATCCCGTTATGCAGTTGCCACCTCCGCTTCCGCCTCTAATCCGTGTTCCATGCACGGAGAGTCTATCCCTTCGAGACTAGAGTATCTCTTCTATCGATATTTCTGAAATTCTTCTTTCGACCATCACGCTTGAAAGTGTATTTCTTTGAAAATTAACGAGTAGTGTGAAACGTGCGTGAAATATGCTATTTGCTGTTTTTCCAATATAATTGATGATAACGATTTAAGGATGATTTTTTTATAAGATGTAGTTGAGAGAGATTTTTAGAAGAAGTTAAGTATAAAATATAAAATGGCGGAGGAAAATTCGAGTCGGTAGCCCAAAGTCGTAATTCGAATCAACCCATGCTCTATTTCTCTAGTATCCTTCCATCTTTCCGCAACCAGGGTGCATCCAGGAAGCGATTTCTTCTTCCTTCCTTTACGAAATTCTACATCAAACTTTCGCAACGTCATCGCTCGCTAATTCACTTTCGAACATTCGAATTTTCCACGGGAGAGAACCCGATAAAAATATCGAGTGGATTCTTATGAAATTTCGCTCTGTTGCAAAATATCGTTTGCATCAGATGCAAGCTTAAGAAGGTGGAAAAACGCGTTGCGGCTCGCATCATTTCAATATAATAAGCGGATCGCGCGTTAGATGAGGGGCAAGGCTAATGCCTCGGATAGATGGTTCTCTGGCGATTATGCTTGGTTTTATTCCACTGCTTGTTGTCGACTCGAATATGATCGAGCACGAAATGATAAATAGCTAATGAAACTTTCGTGGAAAAAAAAAAAAAAAGAAATATCTAATTGCCGGTATCTACCGGTTGTAATGCAATCGCTGACGCGATACTATGACGTGGTGAAGGTTTTTCGATAACGACAGCTTGACATTTTCATGTTTCATACACGAAATACAGTCGTTAGTACTACGGAGTGTAGAATCGTTTATTTTTATTAGATACATTTGTGCGAGAACGTTTCATGCATGCAATGAGAAAGTGGCAAAATGAAAAAAAATGGATGGATGAGAAAAGGAGAAAGAAAAACAATATATTTAATATTATATAAATGTTATATAAATCTTACAATTTAAACGATAAATGACATCAAAGTGTCAAAATATCACAAGAATTTTTCTCATCATCATTCATTTCGAAACAATAAACGTATCTGAGACAGAACTTTTCCTAATAGATATTTGTTAAATATTTCAGCAACAATAGCAAACATCCAACGTATGTATCTAAGCTACACGCAATTCATCTTTCTTCTAATTGCAATCATTAAATCTTCGTTTCCTCGTTAAAATTCCATCTCGAAGGTTTCACTCTTCGAAGATCTCGATTCCCACAACACTCGGAAGGACGTGTTCTCCGAATATCCGATCGATTTAATCGCAATTAAAATAATTCATGCAGGCCAATCGTAACAGTTCGAACGTCAACCCGAGATTAATTACGAATAATTACCGAATAATCACGCTGTCGGCGGTATCGTTAAGGTCGATGCGCGTGTACGAGAGAACTTCCAACCGCGTCCATTGTTTCGACGAGGCGCCATTGTTGTGTTGTTGCGTTTTCGCGCGGCAATCTTCTTCTAATTGGATTAACCACGGTCCTCGTAACGAAATGAAAAAAGAAAAAAGAAGAAAAAAAAGAAAAAAGGGAAAAAAGAAAAAAGGAAGAAAGAAGGGATAAGGGAAAAAGGACGGAGAAGAGAGGAAGGAAGGAAGAAGTTGATTTGTTGGCGTAAGAGACGTTTAATTGCAAGTATTGAGGGACTGTTCTTCGCATTGAATCTTTTACGGTCATTCTAAAGAACAACGTGTACGAAACTCTCTTTTTCTTTGATGATCTTTGATTATATTAACTAATTAAGGCTAAATTAAGGCTCAATCGGTCAACTTTTTAATTAACATTTAATTCATTTAATTTATTAGGATATTATTTTACATAATATACTTAATCATAATTATAAATAAAATTCGAATCGAATAGTCCTTCTCCTATTATGTAAACTTCGTTTAATTCAATTTATAGTTAAACGAATCGATTTGAAACAAAACTCACCCCGCGATTCTAATTGATATTGTTTATTTCTTATTGACATATTGCAATTACGTTACGTAACATTAAACGCACAACCTGTTTGACTTCGATTCAAGTTCTACACGGATTATCAATATAAAAAAACCTGTTTGTTAATACCAGAGGCAATCTCGAGAGATCGATTGAAATTCAATCTAACCGGCGAAGTGGCAACAGATCTGCGAAGTACGGATTTATCGTTTTGTTATGCATTTTCGAAGAGTTGGATAGAGATTTAATCTAATGTTCGAGCTTTTACCTATTACCAGTAATCGGTGATATGTTTCGTAAGAACGTCTCCAACCGGAATTAGTTACCTTTCAATTTCTTTTACATCACAGCCTTTCAACGATTTTACATTTATGCATTTTATACTTTCTGCAATTATAACTTTAATAACAATACTGATGATAATTGTCCGATAATTTATGTTTTTAATTGCATTGGAATAAAAGTAAATTGCAATTTTAAATGAAATTATTATATTTATACGTTTAATAACATATTTTTCTTGATCTATGCAAATAATGTGTATTGGGAATAAAATTAAATTGGAATTTTGAAAGAGAGGAAATTGCTGAAAATTTTGAAAGAAATTACCTAGGAAATTGCAATCTTGAAAGAGATTTTTCGCAAAATTGCAGTTTTTTTTAAAGAAATTTTTTAAGACGAAAGAAATTTCCCGAGGAATACCTATTAAATTTGAATATCGTTTTTTTCCCCTTTTCACGTTTCAGATATCTAGAAGAAATGGGACTAGCGGAGAGAGAGGCCGAAATGCAGGAGCTAGAAACCTCGAGACCCGGCAGATCGCGAGATCTCTTTGGCGTGCAGCTCGAGGTAATTGCTTCTAAAATATTATTTGCATCCCTTACGATACTTTTAATCAAAACTTTTTCCGATCGAAAATAATTTTTACGCAAATTCCAATCTTTTCTTAAAACTTTCTCGTCGAAAGTATTTATTCCAACCCTTTCTTTTTTTTTCTTTTCTTTCTCTCGATTAACCTCGTTCGTTATTATCGAAGAGAAAATCACGAAAATCACGCGGAAATATTCGAATTGCTCCATAAAAATTCTCCTTAAAAATTTTTTGTTTGGTAAAGGGCGTCGAACGCGCAACTAGATCTCCTAGATATCCTTGTCGAGGTCAGAAACAAATTCGATCCGGAATCGATAGCCCATTCACCGCATAAGGTGGCGGGTTGCAAATTCAATAGTCACTTTTGCCAAGAGCACCGAGTGTGTAGACCGAGTGAGAGGCACGACCCAGAAAACGGTATCAGTATTGGCTGGAACAAACGGCTATCTGAAACCGAAACGACACCGAGGAAAGAAAGTCTTCTTGCGCTCTTTCTTCCTTTCCCCATTTCGCCGATCCCTCTCGAGGATCCCGCCAAGGATCGCCCATGGATTATTACTCGTTTCTACCCGAGCTATCTTTAAAACTGATCCAATTTTCTTTAAGTAGATTTATCGCGGTGTTAAATTTTTAAGAGAGAGATAATTGAGAAATTTTTGTCGAGCAAAGGGGAAATAAGGGAAGGAGGAAGAAAAAGTGAAAATTGCCTTCAACGATGAAAAGTCATGGATTTTTGACGCGAAATTGAAAGATGTCTTTTATTCGTCTTAAATTTCATTGTATCTTATAAAAATATCCACGAATTTATCTTTTTAGAATTTCTTCGAGTTATATTCTATAACTCGTACACGGAGTTTCGAAATTTTGAATAAAGAAAATTTAATCTTAGAATTTAGAAAAAAATATTAGATAATTTAATTTGATTTTTCAAAATCTTTCTACATATTGGAGAAGAAAGTTGTATAGATATAGACATAGACATAGATATAGACATAGATATAGACAAATTCCATAAAATTCTATAAAATTCAAAGTATCTATCAAACGATGATATTAGATAATAAAATTTTTTTTATCCTCACATCTTCTATCATTCAATCTTTCCTTGACACGAATCTTTCATAAGTAAACTCGGAAACTCGTTACACGAATTTACTTTATATCCATAATTTTCAGACATCCTTCCCCATCCTCCTTTCCTAATTAATAATATCGATTTCATTCCCCTTCCAGTATCGTTAAACCAATAATTAAGAGAGGAGAAAGGTAACAAAAAACAGTGGAACGACTTGGCGTGGCGGGATCGATGCGATACGATTTTCACTTCCGGTTTTCGCGCGATCGATTTTCATCCGAGGCCATCGATTTTTAGAAAGGTATCACCTTTCTCTTGTATACCGACTCGTAAAAAGTCGAACGAAATTGGAAAGCCATCGCGCGAAATCATTCGATCGTGTATAAATCGTTCGCAATCGATCCTCGTCCATCGATCTCGAACTCCCAAGCTTTTCGTACACGCTTTATTTTATTATCACGCTTCGACGCGTAATAATACGAATCGAAGAGATCGTTTTACAAATTTTTATTGGGATTGTGTAATATTGGAAAGCATTGTTTAGTTGCAATTTTTATTAGAAATCATGGAATTATATAGCGGAGTATTTTATTATCCACTTAATGCGAGTAGCTATTACGTTATTTGAAATTGCCATATGCCTTGGAAAATATATATTATTATCAGAATAATATGAAATTTATTTATATCTTATAATTTCGAATTATAATTTGATAATTATTTTTTTTTCGCGATTAAATAAAAAACTATCTCTCCTAATCTAATCTAGAATAAAAGTTGTTTTTAAATAATATATAAATTATTATTTCCGTTCACTTTCGCGATTTTAATTTAAAGTTTTTTTCGATCGAAAAAGATAATTTAATTATTCGAGAAATATTGTAATTATTATTGCGATTCTGTGAGAAACACAGAGTGTTTATAATCATCGATAGTTGTAAATATCCGTTAGATCGTGGGTAACTCATTTGTCCATCTTCTTAATTTGCACAGTACACCTCGTAACGGGAATCTATTGTAAACTTATTTGTAAACGCATATCTAATTTATTAGGTCAAGATTATATATATTTTTTTTCTTTTTAAATTGTGCCAAATTCGACTAACCATCCTCGATTGACCATTATCGAATAATTAATGAATTTTAATACGAGAATATTTACTTCAAACTTTGCCAATTGATTTACGAAAGATTTCGTTAATGATATTAATTCATTCCCGCAAAGGGATACTGAATATGACAAAATGTAGTCGGAAAGTGGATTTGATCGATCTAACTTCCAAGTATTACAAGATACTAATTACGAAATGACGTAAGGAGGAAAACTTGATGATATTTTCTAATTTTTACGAGAAAGCAGTACTTATTAAAATTGGACTTGTCCACACTTCCGTCTACACTTGTGATTAAAATAGTTGTATCTTGCGACAAGTCAAGTTTTTTTCTTCTTCGACTTCTCTGAATCTGACATTATTAAAATATATCCTTTCAAACTATTTATCGTCACATGAAATGGAAAATGAATAAAATAAATTATTAATTATTTCCTCTTTTTATAATTTCTACTAAATCAATATACAATTCATGTTCGATATTCGAATTTAAAATCTAAAAGACGATAAATTTTGAAGGATTTATTTTATTTTATTACGATCAATTTAATTATCCGCTTCGTTATCTCTAAGAAAATATAAATTGAACGCTTCTGAATTTTCTATTTTCGAGATTATCAACAAACGTATATAGAATTTCAATAAAAAAATAAAACAGAATGGAATAAAAATATATCTAACATTTAGAACATTTTATGTAAATAACTTTCCTACTTTTTCATAACGAGTTGTTATTTGATAGAGAACATCATCTCAAAGGATCGGCCAATATTATCACGTACTCTCTCCCTGTAATGTAATCACGGTTGAACCGTGAGTAATTTAATTTTTTGCTATAATCTTATCCTTCTCTCTTTCTCTCTCTCTCTCTCTCTCACTCTCTCTCCCTCGAGAGAGAGAGAGAGAGAGAGAGAGAGATTTCTTAATAATTCCCTGTCATGGAAGCTAACGATCAATCGACTCGCTTTTTATCCCTATCCAAGGATTAGATCTACACTTTTTACACCTGTTTTTCGTCTATCACGAGTTATCGATATTTCTATATCGTGAAAGTGATCAACTCGTTGTAATTTTCACGGTTGACGATTACTTCATTTCGATAGTCGTTGGTCGTTGAGCAATCGACCATCTTTTGTTTTAACTGTTTCGTTTCTTTTTTTTTTTTAAATATTGCTAGATAATTTAGTTTCTGCGAAAATTCTTTAGAAAGTATCAAATTTATGATATAAAATATCAATTATGATANAAAGTATCAAATTTATGATATAAAATCTATTGATTCGATTGAATTTCGTGGTTATTCCGATTAGAACTATATATTTTAATTGTTTCCTTGATTATTTGAAAAAACAACGAGTTGGATTAATTCTACTATATTTTTCGTAAATTTCATCAAAATATTTATGAAACTTTTCTTATAAGAATAGAAAAAGTGAGAAGCTCACGGAGAACGCAAAATCTAAAATTGAATTTATTTCAAATAGATTTTCAAAACCATCCGTTCACTTTCTCCTGGTTCGATTTCAAATTTATAAAACATTCAAATCCTCAAAACCTATAAAACCCTAGAACTCACAACAACATCCTGACCATCTTTTATTCCTGATAATTTTTCATTCACATTCAACGCTTCGAGTAAAAAATTCCAAAACTATCTACTCCCTTTTCCATTTTAATCCAATATATCTACATTTCATACTCTTCGATATCGAAGAAACCGCCAACCAAGATCAACCTAATACTACATACTTTCCAAGTTAACGATCGTTGAAAATAAAGAAAGAAAGAAAAAAAGAAAAAAAAAATATCCAGGGATCCACAAGATAGAAAACAAAAAGAAAAGAGAGAGAGAGAGAGAGAGAGAGAGAGAGAGAGAGAGAGAGAGAGAGGAAAAAAGAGCAACGAGAGGCATCCTCGTTGGAGGAAGAAAACAAGAGCGGAACAGAAAGACGAGGTTCATGAATTATCGAACAAACAGATGTTATGCGATGGAAGGGCCCCACAGTGGCCGTTCTAACGTAATTTGATCGGCCGGAGGAGATACCAGCTCGCCCTTGCATAAAACTGCTTCCCTCCGCCTCTATCGTAATCACCGATGAGCCTTTATTAATTGGCGGCCAATATGGCGCGAGCCTAATTAATCGCGGCGCGGCTCATTATAAACGACACGGCTTAATGCCTGCCGAGCGAGCATCGTCTATCTCTATCTCTCTCCCTCCCCCCTTCCCTTCCCTTTCTCTCGATCGACCTCCTGCCCGTTTTAATCGGCACGATGTAAACCGGCTGTAATATCGAGTCACGAGTTCATTAAATCGTCGATCACGGTGTGTAACGCCGGTTGGTTCGGTTCGACTGGGTTGGATTGGATTGGGTTAGGTTGGGTTGGGTTGGTTCGAGCGCGGGAAAATTGTGAGATGGAGTGGATTCGAAAAGGGGACGTTTTTCGAACGTGGAAAGATATCGAATTGGTGTTGTTTTGATTTTGTTAATTGTTTTGAGAAGAGGTTTTTAGCGAAGAAACGTTTGATTCGTGTTTTCTATTGGGGAGGGTTATTTTCACATCATAAAAGTAATATTTAAAGATATGGGGTTTATTAAGATATTATTTGTTATTAAGATATTACTGTTAATTAATCTTGAAAGAGTATTTTTTCATATTTTATTTGATGGATTTATATGTAATGGATTGCAGTTTTCAAATTTTGGAATTACGGTATTCAAATTGAAATTTTGAAATACTTGTAGTATTTAAAGTTATGGGGTTTATTAATATATTACTCGTTAATTAATCT